AAAACAAATAAAAAAACAAAAAACTTTCTTTCTACTTGAAAAAAAAAAAAAAGAAAACATTTTTCATTGTGATTTGGGTGAAAGCTTCCGGGGTTGATTGGGTTTCCCGTCGGCAGTTCATTCACCTTTCATTCTGTGACACTGATTACAATCCCCACAGCTGTTTTCATGGAAGAGAGAAGCCAGGCACTGCTCAGATGACATTTGAGCAGAGAGCCCTGAGCTGTCCCACCGGTTTGGGGACATGGGAGTCGGAGGCTCTGCCCCACCCCCACCCCACCCCATGCCCCAGTGACCTGCCACAAGAACAGAGCTGCCGATGAGCTCTCTCTCAGATTCAGGCGCAGGTGTCCCGGGCACTGTGTACCTATGTTCCTTCAAGGGTCTCCAGGAATGGGCTCTGCAGTGAGACCTTTGGATCTCACTGGCCAGGCCAGGACTTGTCTGGGGAATTCAGTGAGACCACATGGAAAGCTTAGCACAGATCCTGCAATAAGAAATGGGGGCATGGCCTGGCTCTGGGATCTGGAGGGTCCTACCAAGCATACTCTGGGCGTGGCCAACACGGCAGTGTCCAGGCTTGCAGGAATCACAGTAGCAGACAGGGCTTCTTACTCGGTCTACACCACAAAACTGCACTGAGACCTCGCCTCCCTCCCTGGCTTCCCAGACGCCTGCTTCTCTGGCCTGTCCCTGCTTGCCTTGTTTCCATTTCCTCTGCATTCTCCCAGCCATCCTTACTACTGCCCGGACGCAGCCCCCAAACACCCAGCTATTTGATAGATGCTGTGGAGGTCAACAGACTCTCCAGGCATGCGAATAATCATACTAATAATAACAACAAGGCAACTGAAGTCTCAAGAGGTTTCTTAAGGCCACTCAACGGGTATGGGTGCGGAGTCCTAGAGGGCGTGGTAACTACATCGTGGTGCTTGTGTTCTGGGGGTTCCTTGGCATTTTCTGATTACACATTCTGTGCCCAACTTAGAGCCAGATGTTGGAGGACAATGTAGGAAATTTTAAAAAGACAACAACATTTAGTCCCCAGGGAAGAAGTGGAGTTCATCTTATGATCATTGTTTCTTGAAGCACCTACATCCTCATTCTCACTCAAACTCACTGCCATCAAGGCGATGCTGACTCAGAGACCCCGCTGTGGGCTTCTGAGACCGGCACCTTTGGCAGTAGAAAGCCCGGTCTTTCTCCCACGGAGCTGCTACGGGGTTCCATCCGCTGACCCTGCGGAACCACTACATCGCTGTTTTAAGCACACGTTTTCCTGCCTTCTGGTTGGCTTGGCTATCAGCCTTTTCAAGCTGCATCCTGATCCCTTAGACAACCAGCCATATGTAGTCACGTTTCTGTTAGGGGTTCATTTCAGTTTTGCTTTTCCGTGATAAATCATGATGCTGTAAATATCTGTGTACACACAGCCTTCTTGTTTCTCCTTTAAAATGACAGAATTGGAATGAGTGCCCAGAGAGGGCTGACTATTTCATAGCTCTTGTCCTGCGGAGCCAGAGTGCAACTGAGAACCATATCACAAGGAAGCAACTGAGGACTCAGATGGCCTCATCCCAGTCCTAGAACCTGTGCTACAGGGTGGACGGTTCGAACCCTCTCCGAGGTGCCTCAGGAACCTGCCCTGGCAATCTGCTATTGAAAGGTTAAGTTACTGCCATCGTGTCCTTTCAGACTCATAGTGACCCTATAGGACAGCGTAGAACTGCCCCTATGGGATTCGGAGATTGTAAATCTTTTTTTTTTTAATGTATATCACTTTATTGGGAGCTTTTACACATATCATAACATTGCATACTTCAATCACATGAGGCAGTATTGTACAATTGCTACCACAATCAACTGCAAAACATTTTCTTTCTTCTTGAATTCCTCAGTATCAGCTCCCCTTTATCCCCTCCCTCCCCCACCCTCTGCACACCCCCCCCAGGAACCCTGATTGATTGATTTATTGCCGTATCCTCCACCATCCAATATATCCATTCACATACAATTCTATTGTTCACTCCCTTCCGGGGGTTATACAATCATCAATGGTATCAGCTCCCCCTGCCCCCCTGTCCCTCCTCTCTCTTCCCTACCCGCAGGACTGTAATTTTGATGTTTGGGGCTGGAAGGGGATGCAGTCAGTAGTTTGATAACCTTGCTGCCATTGGTTGAAGATGCCCTCAGAAACTGACTTAGCTTGTGGTGTCCACAGCCAGGAGAAGACAAGAGCTCTGCTCCAGATCTCCGGCTTGCTCATAGATCTCCAGCCTGCTCATGGGTCTCTGGCCTGCTCTGGCTCGCCAGCTACCAGGCATTTTCTCTTGATTTTCTGATCTAACAACAGGAGCACAGAGTGGGTGATTCTATATGGGCGCCATCTTCCTGGAAGTTTCCTGAGATTGCAAATCTTTATGGCAGTAGAAAGCCTCATTTTTCTCCCTCGGAATGGCTGGTGGTTTCGAACTGTTGTCCTTGTGGTTATCCATCCAACATGTAATCCACACCATTATTCAAAACTGTTATGCATCCAAAAGCAGAATCAAAATTTGGTGACTGCCCTTAACATTCTGCAGCGCCTTGAACCATTGGTATGTTTTCTAATCAGTGGACTCACTGAAAGAAGATGCACTTTTGATGTTGATGGTTGGTTACTGGTTGTAACTTTAGGTCTTTTTTTCTCAGATTAAAGAAATCATTGCCATCGAATCAGCCCCGACTCATGGCGGCCCCTTGGTGGCAGAGTACGACAGCTCTGTGGGGGTTTCCGAACAAATTGCCGGGCCTCTTGTCTTTCTAGACACCTCTAGGTGGGTGAGAATGAACACGGTTTTGGTTAATAGCTGTCTTTCACACCCAGGTATTCCTATAGATTAAGTCCAACCCCCAGCCTGTGAGTAGATTCCGAATCACCTGGAGCCTACAGCAGCCCGTAGCGTTTTCCGGCCATCTCCCACGTCTCTCTGTGGAGCAGCTGGTGATCTCAAACTGCTGACCTCTCCCTCTCCGTTAGCAGGCCAGTACTTAACGACTGCGCCACCACTCTTTCCATAGAGTGGGTCCAAGTCCAGAACCAAACCCAGTGCCATCAAGTTGATCTAACTTTGAGTGGCCTGATAGAGGGTTTCCTGGGCTTTATGTAAATCCCGACCGATCAGACGGCAGCTACACCACCACTGGGTTCTTAGTGGATGCCCACGGACCGAGAAACACAAAATCACGGGGGCAGAGGGAGGTGGGAGGTCGGGGTGTTCTTGGTTCCAACTCATCGGATGGCAGAGTTGCAGGACTCCACCGGGTTTTCTAGATGGTAATCCTAAGTGTGCAGATGGCTAGGTTTCTTCTCCCGTGGAAAGGCAGGTAGGTCGGTAAACTCCCCTCTCCCTATCGGTGGAAAGTGGAACCGCCTACCATTGGGACACCAGGGCTTCCGGTTGTCCAGAGCAAATTTTAAGAAGGTTGTTTAGAGAGGGCCTTATAAAGAAGAGATCAGGAGCAAAGATAACTGTGGGAATGTCTGGAGAGGGGCATTCCTGACTGAGGGGCATGCAGGGCCCTTGCAGAGCAGCTAGGTAGCCTGTGAGGACGACGACAAGATTGTTGGTAGCAGGAGACGGTGAGGTTAGAGATGGAGTTAGGGCAGTGTAGTCGACATCTCTACGGGCATTTTAAGGAGTAGGCTTTTAGTAGGAGGTGGATGGGGAACCGGAGAATGCAGCTGAGTGGGAGGAGGGCAGGGAGCCCAAGAAAAGAGCTAGTGGCAGGCTGGGAACCTAGGCCCTCGGACTTCAGTCCAGTGCTTGGCGCTGCAGTCGCCCTTGGCCTGCGTCCGACTTGAAGTTGAAATCGACGCCGGGCTAGAGAAACGGCTTCCCGGGGTGGTCAGAGAGTCTCCTTATAAAATCAAGCTAAAACTTGATTAACATCCGAAAAGATTCCGAAAGGGCTCTCTGGGCGCTGTGGCTGTGGCCCAGAGGCGCCCCCAGGAGCTTCGTGGCCTTGGACGAAGCTTCTCACTCCAGCCCGCTCAGTTCTCTCATCTGTAAAATGGGACCGGACGCCTTTTCCTGCCTTTCTGCATCCAGTGAAATCCTGCCCAAGGGCCTTTGCAGAGCGGGAATGTTTTCCCCAAGCAAGCGACCCTGTGCCGCGGGCTTCCGAAGGCTGGCTTGGCACAGCACTTTTCAACTCTCTGTTTAGAAAGGGCCGGACCCGGCGTTACCTCCGG